CACACCAAGAATACCCATTCAATCAAAATCCATTTTGACAAATTTCACTTTGAGCTGCCAAAAATCTAAAGTGGTTTTCGACATAATGTTTAAAATCACTTTAGAAAGAAACAACAGCAACGAGAGTGCACTCATAGATAAAATAGTCAACTTGGATTAATATTTTGCTCCTGTGCACTAAATCACCTGATTAACAATTTTCCGGACCATTAATTATATTTTTGCAACAGTGTTTAATTTTAATGTTAAATTTTGATGTTCTCTACAGATTTCCAATCACCACTTCATCATAACCATCTGATGGCGTCTCTGATTGGAGCAGGTGGCACGGAGGGATCATTTCATGTGGAAGAAGAGTCACATGACCCACAAAACACCCATTAAAAAAAAAAAGTGCGCACACAGCCTGAAGAAGAAAGGCTTGCTTCACAGACAAAGTTGAGAACCACCACTATTGACACCTGTCATCTATTCATTATGAACTGCATTCAATACAATTTTATTTATATAGCGCCAAATCACAACAACAGTTGCCAACAGTCGCTGCACAATGATACTACTGCACTTTTACATCATGAAAGCAATATAATGACAACATTTGGGTCTGAGGGGGGGTGGGGTGATGAAGCCTCATTTATCAGCTCCTGATAAATGAGGCTTCATTAATCTTTTGAACAACTAGGCCAGATCTACTTGAAGATTTCTTTTTTTAATAAAATAATTAAACAAGCATAATTAGTAAAAATGTACAATTCCAGTGAGTATCGTTCAGCATGTGTCCTACCTTCCTCTAATTCCTCAGACACGTCCATGCGGGCCAAGTGAGCTAACACCAACACCCTGGCCTTCAGACTGTAGGGATAGTAGAACGGAGGCTCCTTCTTCTTCACATTGATATTTCCTAATTCACGGATCAACTATGAGAGAGTTGGGAGGCAGTCATTATAACATACTGTATTGTACAAAAACATCATCTTCTACGTTGCGTGCTGAATTCTGGGTTACTGGCAATGAACTTCAATCACACAGGAAATAAAATCGCAATGAGAACGCTCTTTTCCTTCCTCATCTCCAAAACTTCCATCTCAAAAACAACATCTGGACATAACACCCCCCTCAAACCAAGTTTCTTCTCTTATGAAGCTTCTTTCACAGAAGCAAACTTCTGTTTTTACCTGCGGCACTTCAACGTTGTCTGTGGGTCTTATGGTTGCTTCTTTATTGTTGCGAGGATCGAATTCGAGTGCTGCCGTCAACACCATGATTAACCCTGGAGGCCAGAGTCAGCCAAAATTACAATTTGTTAATGCAATCAGGAAGAAGACCGAATTTATATCAACATAACCTTTGCTGAATAAGGTAAAGCATGTGCAATGCTACAGAATCTTCCAGTATGTGAACCAGAAACTCACGTTTCATGTTCATATTCGGTGTCTTGCACATGAAATGCATAAAGAGCTGGGTGGTGTTGATGAGGATCTGGTCTCCACTGTATCGGATTGAGCGGTACCACCATGTCCCCTAAAGTACAAAGAAAAAGAACAACCAGCATGAGAAACACAGATTATAACAATACAAGGCTTCTATTTCTATATGAAATCATGATGAACACTTACCACAACAACAGGAAGGATAACCATAAAGGCAAGTCCGTACACCAACAGCACCTATAAAATGAAAATAAAGCAGTTCGATCCAACCAAGTCTTTCAACTTGATCTACAATAGCCCACATAGTGTTTTTTTTTGTTTTTTAATAAAGTATGGTTCTTTGGAGTATAGGGGCTCTCTGCTATTAAGAAAAAATAAAAATCACATATGAGATGTATCAGTTAACTCTACAATGAAATAATGGACAAATACCAGCATTGAGTTCTTCTGGTCAACAATCCAGGCAGGCAGGGCGATGCCAAAGCTGGTTGCTAGAAAAGGGAGACACAAGAGGCAATGGAATTAAACAGAAAAATTCCCTTTATACATACTGAAAGCAATCTTTCTGCAAAAGCACTCCTCTGTGTCGCAAATTACTTGTAAGGGTGAGCAATCTAATGATACTGTGTTGTTGATGATCTAAATTTGGCATATGAAACAGTATAATCAGCTCATTTAAACTTTTCTACACCACGTCTACCATGGCAGGTAGTGACACAATGAGAGTGATGCTCACTGGGTGCACTGCTGATCTCTGATGTGCAACTTGAATAGCAAACAGAAGACAGAATGGCAGGTGAAGATGACTTTGCAGTGTGGAAATGATTTGGATGCTCAGTAACTGAATGCAGAGTTGGCAGGGAATCTGTTGGGACAACCTGTAATCTAATCACAATCTTGTTCTACCATGTTGAAAATTGATCTTCACTGAAGGCAGTATCGAAGTAATCAGCTAGTCTGACGACTCAGACACTCGAGGCAACGGTTTAATTTTCTGGGGCTTCAGGTGTGGCCGGAATGTCTAGATAATAGATAATGGATCAAGACTTCCTGTTCTGTGCATCATAATTGTGTATAAATCCGGATACAGTTTTAAAAAGCTAATAAAAAGTCAAGTTGTTTTCAGATGATGTGACTGTTTAAAGATAGCACAAAGTCTCTTTTTTGCTCTCCTCTCTGTTTGTCTGCATGCAGCCAAGCCTCCTCAAGAAACTACAACTAGAAAACCTTCAGTACCAAAACTTATTTCCTTTGCTTGAAGATTCTGTATATTAATGAGAAGACATTTAACAACAGAGTCAGCTGGTAGAGCTTCCCCATCAAATGATACCAGCCTCAAACAAATTGTGATAAATTTGTTCATGAATGTAAATAAAACTAAGTAACACATCTAAAACTATTACAGTGCTTGAAATGTACTTATTTAACTGACTGAGTTTAAAGGTTTACATTTACAGAAGCCGCAAAGTCCAAAAGTGTGCTATCATTCCATTAGTGGAGCCGCACAGACAAAGAGTGTGTGTGAAAGTGGAGCAAACTCTTTTTCGTATCATCCCTGCTCTTACTGGACTGTGCTGTTTCAAATGATTTACTACAAGTTAAGAGGAAACTGTTTCACCAGCATCAGTGGAGAAGGTGCACCAATGCATTAAACTGGTGTGTATGAGAGAAGCTTCACTTACCTCCTGGGCCGTCAGGGTTTCCATACATTTCCCAGTTCTGCCTTGACTGTTCATTGGTTAGACTGCAAGGAAGAAAAAACAAAAAACAGATTATTTGATCAACCCAGAACTCTGGGCTAGAAGATGTAATCTGGCTGGCATGAACAAAGTCAAAACCACAATGATACTTACGCAGCATA